CTAGTTACTATGCATTTTAAAATAATTGGGGTCAAAATAGATTATTTTTGTCCTGTTGTTGTCCCAAGCATGTTTACTTAATATGATGCTAGGACTGATATTATAACTTCAAAAGGTTGAACTTGAGTTTCAACTTCATACTTCCCTAGTTTGCTTTGGAGGTTGTTTCAGAAAATAACAGAAAGCAGGAAAGTGAAACGCTTACATTGCTTAATACGTTTATACCTTCTGAATAATCAAACATGTTATGTTCTAGTGCTGTGATCTCGGAGTTAGAATGATTTTAATTGACAAATTGTGAACACAGTGCCTTAATATCCCCCTACGAGTAGGTAAAATTTAAAGCATCACTATAAAATACCAGTGGTATCCCTTAGAAACTTGGTATCTGAGGCTTTCTAAATCTTGGCAAATACTAATGTTTCCTAGAAATGTTCTTACTAACAAGGGCTTTTGGGATTTTATGGAATGTAAAAGAAATATCCATTCTTAAATTTTAAGTAAATGTAAAAAAACTATTACATCTTTCTGTTGTTACATGTTGTAATAGGTTTCCTTCCAGATCTGTTTTCTAAGACTTGAGATAAGAATTGGCTGACTGCACTCCTGACACAATCAGGAGTTATTTCTGGACAGTAGTAAAAGGTATTTGGAGAATCATTAAAAATCACTCAACAAAACTACAGGTTGAGGAAAGTAGTGATTCCCGTTCAGATGCAGGGTAGGAAACAAACTGAATATAGACATAACAAACACCCATTTTTGTTCTTTATTGCTTCTAGGCTCAGAAACTATTTCTAGAACTCTTCTCCACAAAGAAGCTGTTCCAGGGTTCCCTTTAGAAATAGTTGTAGCCAAAGACAATGAATTCCTGCTGTTTCAAGCCTTCTTCCTTTGGAGGACATTAAGGTATTTCTTTGATTCCTCAGCTGATTCAATACAAGATGAGATGGAATTTCAGGGTAATCCTGTAAACAGTGCTTCAATAACTTCCCCCCCCCCCATACCCCACCTTTATAGGAGCATTTTCTCGTTCTACTCAATGAGGAGATTCAGGGCCATTTCTTGCTTTGAAGGAGGCCCATTAACACATCTGCGTCCAACCGGTTTAAATGGGGGACAACTTTGCTTGCTCAGAGCAACAGACCTTAGATGCAGAGATGCATCAGTGTCTCCAAAAGTCTTAGCAGGACCCCAAGTGTGAGGTGGTAGTCACAGACTCTCCAAAGCACCCAATATCTCCCTCCTCCTCCTGGAAAGGCCTGTACTCGCCGGCATAGCACTGCAATATTTTACCCCATGTAATGTGAGAACACAGAAATGCAGGATTTAAACAAGAATCACCTGGTGGTCAGACCCTCAGGATAGTTTTTATACTCAAAGCACTATGTTACAGAAACTGAAGAGAAGTGTGAGAGAGTAGCAGTTCCCACTACACAAAGGTCAGGATGCTGTAACAAAGCAGCGTGTACATTTCCTGTATTTCACTAACACTTTCTCAAACTTCACCTAGACTAGAAAGAGTCATGCTCTGATAACCTTGATTCTAGATTCTTAATAATCACTCCTTTCCCTCCCAAGAACTTTGTCCATGAATAGAAACAATGTAAACCAGCACTTGGTGGTTATTCAGAACTCTAGCTGAGCTTAAATGCAGGAAATCAGAACAGTGTCAACTACACCTCACTTTGGAGTTTATTATTTGGAATGAGCAGCTGAATTTCAGTAGTCTCACAGCAATTCTTTCTCAACAAATTGTCCTAACATTAGTTATAGGACCAGTCTGACATTGCATGTTAGTGTATCAGACTGATTCCTAGATCTATACCTGATGTCAGATCTTTTACTAAGTAATACATAGTTGTATATTTCTGTTGTAACAGTGTTCTGACAAAAGTGTGGCTGAGAGCCTCACAGTAGGAAATTGGGCTCTAAGCATTGAGAATGACGACAGGGACCTAGGGTGTAATGTATGATTTCAGATAAAATGGTAGGAAACAACTCCCTGCCTGCCTCACTGTGCATTACAGATCAGTTACTGCTGTGACTGGGACAGCAACAGAAAGCCCCCAGCCCATGCATCATCACTCTCAAAAGACTTAAAATGTGTCATAGTGGTATTTGACAAGGAAAACTGTTATGTGATGAAACAAGATGGCAGGTGTTAAAATACCTTTTTAAAAGATTAGGACTTCTGTCTGTATTTAATATACCACAATATGTGTTGTTTTCAGCCTAATCTGATAAAGAGAAATCGTATAGTTCCAGGATAGATTTTACAGTTATCATGAATAAATAGCTCCATTGGGATTTTGGGGGTTTTTGTTTGTTTGGTTTTGGTTTTGGCTTTTTGTTTGCTCGTTTGATTTTTCATATTAACTATTGAGGGAGCAGAATTTTAAGTGTATGTAATTCCCAGATTCTTCCATCTAATGTAACTCATAAGTCAATTGGCAAATAGTCATTTCAGAGACGCAAAACCGTGTTTTACTTCTGGTATTGTGCCGCGGCGTTTGAGGCTTTGCTGGCCCCCACTAGGACTCAGGTGGGCTGAGGAGTTTGTGGTGGGTCATTGCAGCACTGGTCACATAGTGCAGCCCTTCCTGCAGGGTGCCGCTCTGCCCTGGCCGTGGGGAGGCGTGAGGGGCGTTTCCCCTCTGCTCAGTGTGTGCCGTGCGGCTGGGACTGCAGACGGCTGATGGGGCCACGGGTGGACCTGCAGCAGTTCAGGACAGTGTCTTGATTTGTATCCCCCCAACAAACAATTTAGTTTCCTTTACTTTCTAGTCAGGGGTCACAGTCCTAATCCTATACATTTATCCCAATACCTACCCAAAATAGCACTGTTTGTTCTCTTAACAAGCCCCTAAAAATTGCTGAAAGTACAGTTTCTTACTAATTCATGGTTACTGTGAGATTTCCGTGTCAGTATAATCTTCCCAAATAGGTTTTTTCCCATAGTATATTTTTTGAGGGTAGGTGTTTCTCATTAACGTAAATGTCATCAAGAATACAAGGTTTCGGCCTGTGTAGATTCATTCAAGACTTTTCTGTACCCATAGCCATCCTGGTGCAGGGGGCACTTGCCCGAGAGTGCAGAAGCTGGCTCTGATTCCTGGTCTGAAGCTCTCTAGAATATTGGACTAACCCTTTCCTCAACAGGATAATCTACAGTGTAGTTTACATTACCTTGAGACCATCTCTGCCTCTCTGGGTGGTTAAAATACCTTTGACAAAAAAATCAACAATCTTGCATTTGAAGGCTGAAATAGAATTGTTTTCTTGGGTGGCTAGTTAACAGTAGTGATAAGAGAAAAGACAATATTTAAAAACTGAAAATGTTCACCTAAATTTTAAGAGAATGAAGGAAGGCAGTACTGTTTAATTCACAGTGTCTTTACACTTGCCTAAACTTTACTTTTCATATTTACAGTTACCGGTCAGAAAGGAGACTTAAGTCATTAAAGGAAATTAAGATTTTGTTTAATGGAAAGTTTACATAAAAATTTATGGGGACTAGCCTGCAAACTACTGTCATAAGAATGTAGGATGTGATGTGCCCGTGCCGTTTGTATTTGCCTGGAGAATGTTGATCAAAGCTTCTCTGACATAAGTTGCAGTTGCCTGCTATCTGCGACAAGTTGGATCACTGGCCCCTTCTAGCAGATGGGTGTAAATGTAGACCTCTTGTTCTTAGAAGTAGTAGCTGAAATACTTACTTTGGTCTGTCTTCCATGGTAACAGGAGATGAAACTTGAGAAGACAATGTGGATAGTGCAGAGTGTCGGACAGGAGGTCGGAACCTCCGTTCTGTTCTATTCCCAGCCTGCTCCTGGGTTGCTATGTATACTTGGATAAGCCAGTTACCCTCTCTGCACCTCATGTTTTCCATTTGTGAAATGTACTTAGCTCTTCACAAAGATAGTGTGAGAACCAACTTACTCTGAAGTTTGTAAAACCTGTTGGCATGTATAAATATGTCCTTGTCCCTGTTGCCTTTGACAACAGTTTTCCCACAATTTGACATCCAAACTCTCTCTTGTCAATGCATGACAAAAAAACAGCACCATTGCAACAGCCAGTGGCTTGTGTAAGAGCTGAGGCTGTGACTGTGGAGCCAGAATGGCAGGGTTTGAGCCTTGAGTCCAGCATTTACTAACTGTGACCTTAGGCCAGTCCATATCCTAGGTTTCTTTTATCTGTAAAATAGGAACAGGGATCACTCATCTCACTTGAGTGTGGTGAAGCGTGAAGAACTCTGTGGATGCTACACACAGAGACACTTCATATAACCACAAAGCTGCTGCTGTTACCCAGAGCAGGTGGTCATCATCAGCATGCTGTGGGGAAGCAGCACCTCTGGCCTTGGAGATCCCTTTCCATAGTTTCTGCTCTCTTTCTTTCCAAAATAGTAGTGTCTTGCTCTGCACTACCATGAGCTGCTGGGCCTGGGGTATGAGCTCCTGGTCACAGATAACCATTATCTCATCTAAGGTCAAAGGAAAGGCAGGTAAAGGAAATCCAGATGGTTTTAGACTTGTCTCACAAACACACTGGGTTTTTAACTTGAAGAAAGGAATGCTTCCAGATTTCAGAAACGTTGTGCAATGGAGAGAATTGACAGTTGAAAACTGTGCCCTGATTATTACAAAATAAACTCAAAAACAGGAAGAAATAGAAGAGCAGTTAGTAATTAATGGAACTCATTTTAATCTCCCTTGGCCGTTTCGTGTATTGGTGGACATCAGAGAATTTATTAGGTGAGACTATCAAAGATGCCTCGGTTGCTTATAGGTTAAAAAAAATGGCATTCAGGTTTTTAGAAATCTGAATAACAATATTTCTTCAGGGGCTCAAGACATTATGAAAGTATAAAATTGGGGGATTTGATGAAATTTATTGATTAGCCTTTCGTAGCTCGGTAGTGTAGGATTTCAGAGATTAAATAACATCTAAGAGGTAATCATGTGTCTTACTGTTTTTATTTTTCTTATTATTAGAACCATCCTACATCACAATTGACCCACCTGCATGTGGGCAGTTGTCAAACTGCACCCTGACAGAGAAGGACTGCATTTACGGTTTCAGACTGGATCACAATGGTTGTCGAACCTGTCAGTGCAAAAACAGTGAGTATACTGCATTGGGCCTATGCACAGACCCACAGTAGACAGTAATCCACGCACCCTCTGTAGCGTTGCTCTGCTAACACTTATTTCCAGCTGCAGAAGGGAGCCCACAACTGAGCCTGTGACTGACGTCAGAGTCAGACACATTATATTGGCAGCATTCCGTTGCGGGGAAACCCTGTTTTAAATTCAGATGAAGTGAGTCCGTACTGTTCTTCCTGAAACTGTGCTTGCTCCTGATGGCCATTGCTCTCTTTTCTAAATGTCATGAAGCTTCTGTTCAGTATTCTTTCTGCATAATTTTCATCTGTGAATGTCTAGCTTAGTTTGTATAGTTTTAGAGTCCTCTGTCCCTTCTGAATGGACATTAAGCTGCTTTTAGTTTTCTGAAATGTCGCTCCATTCTCTCTGACGTCTCCCAAGCACAAACACAGTGTGTGTTTAATAAGCAGATTCTCTGCAAGTGTCTGTGGAGACTTACCATGGACTCAGACTTGGAATTACTTACTGTAAATAGATGTGCACTTTCTGATTTTTTTTTCTGTTAAACATAGTCTGTATTATGTTGTTCAGTGCTTTCTTTTGTAAGAATGATTTGATGAAAAAGGCAGATACAAAAGAGGAGTCACGTAGTTTTTTTCAGTTATGAACTTCCAGGTAAGTGATGTCTGTGATAGAGTTGGTGTCAATGCGGAATGAGTAAAGCTTTGTGGCCGTTACCGTCTTGCATTTCCTGGCAGCCTTTACCCACTGAGACCCATCTGCCTCCTGGACTTGTTTCTCTGGAGTAGGCCCTTCTCTGCCATACACCCTGCGGGAGCTCACTCAGGAGCCACCTGGGCAGTCTCACTTGTTGGTTCACATGCCCACTTTGTTATTTGATACCAAGATAACTGGAGATTGTGTCATGAGTTTATATTTTAAGCCCCGTCCCTCTTGAACTCTGCATCCTTTCTGGGCATGGGCGTGCACCTGCTTTTTTCTGAGCTGTTTATAAAGTAGAAAGATATAGATGTCATTGTGCTTGATCATGCTGTCCTTCACCTTCGCCTGGGCTTTGCTGTCGTGAACTCTTCACCGCACGGTCACACTTATTTAGGACTTGTGACTTCACATTGAGCCCTTCATAGCTAAGGCCAGGAAAACACTGTCCCTCGGTTGTCACTGGAGAAAGTGAAAACACACCACTGGCCGTTTGCCGTTTGAGCCTGTTAGAAACAGCCTGCTCTGCCTGCCTTTGGTTAGTCTGCACTCTGGCTCTGTAAGTCCATGCAGACCATATGCATTACATTGCCATTTTTAAGTGTGTAGAAAGAAATATATACAGGAGACTGTTGGTGTTGCATGTCAGTTTTGTTTTACATAGCAATGAATTATTAACCATTCATTATTTGTAAATTTACCTTTTTACAAAGCTACCTAGTCCTTTTCCTTCCTTCTCTCCTTTACCTAATATAGACCACATGCCTAGTTCAAGGTATTGTACTAGCTGTTTATGCCACAAAAGTGAATAAAATGTAAAACCTAAGAAAATTTCCTGTACCCAGCACTAATGATATATTTACCACCACTTGTTGTCACATTTGGTAAGTTACAAAGACAAATCCTGTTAAGAGGAAGCTTCAGTCCTGCAGAAGAACTCAGGCATGCACGCATACCAGAGCTGGGAAACAACAGCTGGCCTATCACCCAAGGCCATCCTGGGTGCACAGCACATGCATTGCGGAGTAGTTAAGCAGGGCTCTCAGCATCAGGGGTGCATCCTTGTCCAGGAAGCCCTTTTGAGGTCTCCCCATTGTGGCAGGAGTCCATTTCATCACCATTCTTGACCTGGGTGAATCTCTGCCATTTCACCCACTACCGTCATATACCTAGAAATGCAGTTAAAGAAAGACAGCTGGACTTTGGCAGCGTCTGTCTTAGAAGCCTGATCAGAGAGCATTATGCTCTTAACCTCCTGTTAGCAACCCTGATTGTTCAGCACCTTTAGAGACTTTGAGAAGAGAGTAAAGTCAAACAAAAACTGCTGGCTGTTTGGATGCAGGTGGTTGCAGGTGGCTGTGGGTGCATTTTGGAAACTTTTTCATACTGGCAAACTAAGGTTTTTCATCCTATTATTTTTCTGTTACTGTGACATCCTTGGTGAGAGCAAAGGAGTAAATAGCAAGAATGTTGATTGAGTCATTTTGTAAATATTTGTTGAACTGATATTCCATGCTGAATACCATAATAGCCCCTGGGTTGCATAAAGAATAAAATAGAGTCCTGGGGCCCTCCCTGGTGGCACAGCGGGTTAAAGTGCAGCACTGCAAAGCTGGCCGCAGCCTCCCAAGCATGAGTTTGATCCCCAGCCAGGGAACTGACCCACATGGTGCGGCAGACCTCTCCTGCCTCGCCTGCCGCTCCCCTCAGCAATGTACTCCGTCAGTTGGCCTGTTCTGCTCCCCACTCTGTCTCTGGTGATTCTTCTCACTGCCCCTGCACCTCTGGCCTGTACCCCAGTTCTGTATGCATAAATAAATAAGTCTTTAAAAAAAGAAAACAGAGTCCTGTCCTTGAGGCCTGGACCACAGCCTGTGCAGAGAGGCCCTGTTCAGTGGGCCATTGGCACACCCTGCCCTAGGGCTGTCAGTCTCCTGTCTGGAGTGGCCTGTGTTTGTGTTTAAATATAGAAGCCTTTGTCTGAATTTCTCTCTATGAAACCAAAGGTAGTTAAAGACAGATTTAGTTTAATTTTTTTTTTTTTATGGAGGTAATGTTGGTGTCCAGCACTGTATGACTTGGAATAGAGGATTTATTTTTTATCAAATTCTTTGCATATGAATGATAATTGAGCAGATCTTTCAGGATAAGAACCATTCTAGATCAAAGTCTGTGGGAAAGGCACACAGGTGCACACAGGTGCTCAGGTTCCACAGTTTCAGGGAATTTATCCTCAAGGGGATGCTGAATTGAGGAGGTTATTGAAGTGTCACTGGTTCATCTGTTTCTCCACTTGCAGTCTACCTGGTGCCATAACGTGATAGGGAAAATGGACTTAGAACTTAGTCCTCACCATCAGGAAAAGAAACGTAGCATTGGAAGTTTTCTCTCCTTTCTCATTCCCTGACTAGTGGGAAAAGAGGAGGAATGATGACATTTCAAGTCATACAATTAAAAAGTTTTAAGTGGGCCCTCCCTGGTGGCGCAGCGGGTTAAAGCACAGCACTGAGAATCTAAAGCCGCTTCCGCATGAGTTCGATTCCCGCCTGCCCCGGAGGTGACCATGTGGCGTGGCAGACCTCTCCTGGCCCCCCCTGCTGCTCCCCTCAGCAGTGTACTTCGTCGATCTGCCTGTTCTGTTCCCCGCTCTGTCTCTGGTGACGCCTCTCACCATCTGCATCTCTGGCCTGTACCCCAGTTCTGTATGAATAAATAAAAATAAATAAATCTTAAAAAAAAAAAAAGTTTTAAGTGAGCCTTTTACAATTGTGCTTTCTTTTTTTAAAGATTTATTTATTTGTGCATACAGAACTGGGGTACAGGCCAGAGGCTCAGGGGCGGCGAGAGGCTTCACCAGAGACAGAGCGGGAAGCAGAACAGGCAGATCGACGAAGTACACTGCTGAGGGGAGCAGTGGGTGGGCCAGGAGAGGTCTGCCACGCCATGTGGTCACCTTGGGGGCAGGCGGGAATCGAACTCATGCTGAAGTGGCTTCAGCTTCTCAGTGCTGTGCTTTAACCCGCTGCGCCACCAGGGAGGGCCTACAATTGTGCTTTTAATGATCCAAATTAGCAACCAGTCACCCACAGTAGGAGCAACACCCATACAAACTATGTGTGATGAAGGTTTCCTGATAATGACAAACTGGAAAAGTAACTTTAAATCATTTTTAAGATAAAAAATTAAGTATTCAAGTGTTACAAGCTTCAATTCACAGATGATTCTCTCCTCAAATATATAAAATGTGAATCCATTTGACCTATTACTTTTAATTAAGGGTTAATTTCAGATCCTAAGATTTACATTTGAAGGGGATGAATGTTTTCTGTTTTCCCTACCATGGATTATTTGCAATATTTATGCTTAAAGGATGACCAAGTACTTACTAATAATCATTTATAATTCTAACAAAAATATTCTCTGCCTCCTTTCTTATGAATCCAATCATCAAAAATGACCATATTTTGCTGTCAAAAAGACTTTTTCAAATTTTACATTTAATCCAGATAAGTTTCAACTTGCTTTGGTTATATCATCACACATGTTCTACATTATACCCTTTAAAAATCATTTTAGAAACTAGCAGCTTGTTTTTATTCCTCCTGATTAACAGAGGACAGTGAAACATCCCTCCAGATTCTACAATTTGGATAATTTGAACATGCCAAATAGTGGATAGTTAAGCATTTTGTTAACATTTTTTGGTCAGTTAACTAGATATATCCAAATATTGGATATTTGTCAGCAGTAGGGAAAAATATCTAAATGGAAATACTGAACATTTCACTTTCTACTAAGTTATAAGACATGCCTTTTTTAAGGCTGTGGTAAGAAATACCATGTTACATATTCATATCAGTATTACATTTAATATTAGTATTACAACATTAAATCTCATAAGGGTAAACAATGCATAAATGTCTAAGACAATCCATTATCCTGGTCATGCAAAAGCAAAATATATAAAGAAATTTGGGGTGTAAGTGTTCAGTTTTCACACTTTAAATAGTAATTAGAAGTTTGATGTTGGGGACCAGCCCCAACTATCGAGGTGTCGATAGAAGTTGCATAGCTTATGTCAGTTTGAGGTGCTGAGGAAGAACAGATTTCATGAAAAACTACTCTCCATTTCATCCACACCTTAAATAACAGTTCTCAGCCTGCCCCTCAGTGCCAGGTTGGGGTGCATTTCAGAAATGTGATTTCAGAGTTGAACTAAATTTTATTATATTAGCACCAAAATACAGGTTTTGCTATGAGAACCTAAACTGGCATGGTCTCATTTTTGCTCTCAATGATGCAGTGGTAGAGCTGAAAAGTTCTCAGCCACTGAAGACGGGCGTGTAGGGCAGCATTTACGCACCACTGTGCTGTTCCTCTCGACAAGAAGCCTGCTGTTGTGTCTTCACAGGAGAGGAGCTGTGCGCCAGCCTCAAGCGGGGCTGTGCCTTGGACTGCCCCCTGGGGTTCCTGACTGATGCCCACGGCTGTGAGCTCTGCCAGTGCCGCCCGCGGCCCAAGAAGTGCAGACCCATAATGTGTGACAAGCACTGTCCGTTTGGATTCCTGTACGTATTGCTTCATCCAGAGGACCTGCTCTTCATTTTCTGGAGCTTACTGCAGTGCCTATTCCTATATTTGTTAGCTGCTGTGCATGTGTGTGAACAATCCAACGGTGTGCTGAGCCAGACCATGTGCACTTGTCTTGTTTGGTGAAGAAGGGCCAGCACCTTATTAGGTCACTGCCTTCAGGGCCCCTTCGTGCAGTCTCCTCCCAGACCATGGCTTTGCCTGCTGCCAGGGCATGGACTTGCCATGAGGTCCCGGGGTCATAAGTGCTACCACTTTATACCATTGTTCCAGAAGTGATTTGGGGCACCACTTAGTCCATGCTCGAGCGCAGCAGTTCGCCACTCAGTGCAGGCCCAGCGCATCCTCCCTGCACCTCCGTCTCACCTGTGCCAGTCTGCAGTTCATAGTCCTCGTCTTAATGTAGCAGTAGAGTATTTCCTTGAAGACAAAGGCTAGGATTTGCATTTTCAAATATTCCTGGTTGAGTCAAACCTCGATTAGTCTAGGGAGAGGGAAAAAATAGACACTTGATGTTTGTTTCTTTAGTGTGTGTATCAGTCAGCATCTGTTTCTACTCCTTTCATTGAGTTGGTTCCTTAAGAACATGCATTACCAGTCCTTCCTTGGCTCCCTTCCATTTTGGCCTTTCTACCTTTCCAACTTGATATATTTATCTGGAGCTCATAATTATAAGGGGCCCATTGGCTCTTACCCATCTAAAACTCATCATTTTATCTTCCTCTTGGGTATTCTGGTTTATTAGGGAAGGAACATCTTAATTATAATTAATTGTGATTAGAAAACCAGTTACAAAAAAAATATACCCCAAGTGAACTAAGCAGTAGCATTGTTTTTAAAACATATGCAATAAAAGTATAGTTAACCACTAACTTATAAAAAGTATGACTGCCATAATAGTTACAACTGTGCTATATATCTGTTGTGTATATACCGCTACTATACCACACACACTACTGGGTGTTATGCCTGTTGAGAATCAGATGTGCATTCAAGTCTCACCTTTATCTTGGAGAAGAACCTCTGAGAGGATTAAAGGTTTCACTTTGTATTCCTGTTGGCAAGCACTTACAAGGAAATCCAGGTTGACTGCTATAGACAAATGAGCATAGCCTCCATTAGGACATGTGTTTCGATGACAGTCTAAAGGAGAAACCTTGGCCAGACACCATACGGAAACATCAGGCTGAAAGCAGCCACCGGTGCCCAGTGTACCTGCTGAGTGCGTTCCTAACTGTGGAGGTGCAGACGAGCCCCCAGAGGGTGGGACGGAGGCATGGCTGGGAGAGGCCGTGGAGCCCGCCAGGGAGAAGCCTGGGGAGGTGCTCCTGTGCGGGGCGGGTGGCTCGGCGCTCCTTCTGGAGAGATACGGTCCGGGAGCTGCCCACTCACCACACCAACATTTTTATTGTGTGTTTGTTTCATTATTTCATATCACCTTTCTGGTAGGCACAAAAACTAGCAATCTTATTTACTAAGGGAAAAAAGAAGGCCGCCTAGCCATTCCCTTTAGCATGACCTTTCTCGGGCCCTTAGGTTCTCTCTTTATCATCTATTAATTTTCAATAGAAATCTCATTAAAATTGTTATTAGTGTCTGAAATTTCTGAAAGAATGTGGCTGCTGGGCAAGGAAGCCTGGGGCTTTAACATAGGACTTTGCCCCTGGCTGCCGGCCCCACACTAACTGCCACAAGGGTCTGGGCTTGTAAGCCTTGATCTGGGTGGGGTGGTCAGGGCCGCAGGGCGCCAGTTACATGTCACTCCAGAAGTTCTCAGAGCAGAAGTCAAGTCCTTGCGTTTAACGGCATCATCACTTTCAGTGACCCCATGTCTGAGTACTTGGGCATCATTTGAGACTTTAGATTTTCTGACCTCTGACAAAACTTTAATTACCCAGGAAGAATAAGCATGGCTGTGATGTCTGTCGCTGTAAGAAGTGTCCAGAGCTCCCGTGCAGTAAAATCTGCCCCATGGGTTTCCAGGAGGACAGCCATGGTTGCCTGATGTGCAAGTGCAGAGGTGAGTGTGGGCGCTCGGCCCCTCCCCCAGAGGACACCGGGGCACAGAACAGGACAGGAGGACATCATGTCCACTCTCACGCATGTCACTCTCTGTAGGCGCATTCGTCTTCCTTTCATGTCAGTGGGCTGAAGCCTAGAGCGGAATGGAAAGCCTGTAATGGGCAAGCACATGAACCACATAAGTCATTTCTGAGCTCTTCGTTTTTACTTGTCTCAGGAACTTCAGTCTAAAGCAGCTTTGTCTTCACCACCACAGAGCCGCCCTCTGTCCACTGGTGGGCAGAGAGCAGCAACACAAGATCCCTTCACAAAGCCCTGAAGGTGGGTGTGGCTACACAAACCCGCTCAGGTGGTCTGAGTCAACCCGCTGTCCGTGGGAGCTTAAACCTGAGTAAGTTCCAGCCAGTCGCTGTGCGGAGTGAAGGCTCTGGCGCCCCCGCTGCCAGGGCGCTGCCCCACCGCACGCCCACCCTGGCCGCCAGGGCGCTGAGTGACAGCAGGACACAGCTCACCAGTGAAAGATCCCTGGAGTTTATTCTGCGCTTTCCCAGTCTGGATAGTTACGGCTTCAGTAATGTTCTAAGCGCTCAGAAAATAAGAATCTTGTCACTGCTTCAGATGTTCTAGATAAAGATGTATTTGTTGTAAGGGGCCTAATATTGCCCCGCTGGGTGAGTTTCAAGGTCATTGTTCCGTACGTGTCAATCACAGGGGTAGCACTTGTTACAAAGTCAATGTCTGTTTATTGTATAAAGTGTGAAAAGTGGAATGAAGGAAGTAAAAAGCAGCTACAATCACCATAATAGGTGGGAAACCTACTTGCAGGTTTTCTGTTCTTTCTCTTCAAAATTGAGAAGTTTTTTCCGGCGTCTTTCCTGTGCCTGTTCGGTGCCGCAGCTGCTTCCTCACCAGGCTGCCTTCTGTCTCTCCAGAGGCCGCTGCTTCCGCCGGGCCGCCTGTCCCGTCAGGCCTGTGTCTGTCCGAGGACGGCCGTCACCACCAGAACGCGGAGAGTTGGCATGACGGGTGCCGGGAGTGCTACTGTCACAATGGACGGGAAATGTGTGCTCTGATCACCTGCCCGGTGCCTGCCTGTGGCAACCCCACCATCCCTGCAGGGCAGTGCTGCCCATCGTGTCCAGGTAAGGGCAGCTGCCGTGGTGCGCTCCTGAGCTAACGGGATTAGGGGGACAGGCCCGGAGGGGGGGGCACAGGGCACAGCTCCAGGTCTCGTGGGATCCTCTGTAGTCTTTGGGGGCAGCCGCAGAGTCAGCCGGGCGCTACCCAGTGATTAGCCAGAGACCAGAGAAAATTCTAAAGCTCTACGTTACGTTTTTGCGTGGTCTACTGCATTCTGTCAGTCTCTGAAGTACACTTCGTGAAGGGCTGTGGGCTGCTACGCCTAAATTTCAGTTCTCTATCTTTAGGTGCTGGGTCTTGCTTACCTGGAGGGGTTGGTCCTGGGTGCTCTGTAAAAGCTTATTGTTTGTAAATTAATATTTGAGAGAGATTATCAAAGTCTGTGGTTATTGACCTTTTTTAAATGAATGACTGGAACTTCTGCTAAGTGGTGAAATTTGGAGTAACTACATATCTAGAACATTAAAAATGAAAAAAAGTAGAACAAATTTATGGCTCGTGGGGGTTCACAGCGTGGTTGTCAATAGCAGTGAGTGCTGCCATACAACTCGCTGCCTCTCATCCAGAGACCACAGCATAGTTGTGTTTCTTCCTGTGCACAGGCCGTGTTGTGCTGGGGGAAGTATGCTCACGTGCAGTTCTGTTTGGCAACACCAAAGGTTAGCTCTCACCCAAAGTAAAATACTGTGTCAACCGGGGACTTTCTTAGAGGCGTGAAGATGCCTGGTTCTGGCAATAGGTTTACTTAAGCCTGAAGGTACTGTCAGATTTGGAGGTGTCATTACTTCTCCCCTGGGCAGTCCTGGTCCTGTGTCTCCCTGTGCCCAGCGCTGGCCAGGGAGGGGAGGTGGTCAGGCTCCCTCACCATCGTCCCCTGCCTTGGGGACGATGTGTGGGGAGACAACTGCCTGCAGGCCCTCTCAGCTCTGACATTCTGCACACCTCAGAGACTAAGGCAGCAAAATGACAGGTGACCCAGGTCCCAGGTCCCTGTAGAAAACCCAGTAGAGTGTTTTGGGTTGTTTCAGAGTTCAGGCAGGTTGCTCTGTGTGGAAACTTTCTTTTTCACTTTGTCTGCTACATTTAAATAACTGCAGCCAAGATGAAGGAGAAACAGGGCAGAAATAATCGTTGGTCCCCCTTGTCCCCTGCTCTCACGACAGGGCTGGCTGGGTGTGAGCGTGTGCACTGCCCCTGGGTCTTGGCTAACCCCATTCTCCGTGAGGAGGCCTCTGTCAGCTGCCGCCAGTGCACGGATGTGCTCGAGAACAGTGTCTGACTTAAGACCTGTGGGGTGGTGGGCCAGTTTAGTGTGGAGATAGAGTTGTTTCACAAACGCAGAAATTGGTGTATTTCTTAGGGTGAATACCCAGATAAAATGCACAAACACACACGCGTTGACACATCTGGAAATATCGGTATATTTTTTTTTTTTAAGATTTAATTATTTGTAAAGACAGAACTGGGGTACAGGCCAGAGGCTTAGGGGCGGTGAGAGGCTTCACCAGAGACAGAGTGGGGAACAGAACAGGCAGATCGACGAAGTACACTGCTGAGGGGAGCAGCGGGTGGGTCAAAAGAGGTCTGCCACGCCATGTGGTCACCTCCGGGGCAGGCGGGAATCGAACTCATGCAGAAGTGGCTTTCGATTCTCAGTGCTGTGCTTTAACCCGTTGCGCCACCAGGGAGGGCCAATATCGGTATATTTTTTCCAAATCTTTTGTGGATTACTAAATTCTACTGACTAGCAACCCCAGAATTGCTGTACTGATGGATTCCCACTATAAAGAATGTGTCTACCCCATTCCATTTCAGGATCAGCTGTTTTTCGTCTTGTTCTGTTTTTCTGGGAGAACCAGGAGCAGCATGTAAAAGCTTCTGAGAGAAGATGCACCGTGACTTGGGTTCTGACATTTGTCTTTCTCTCCATCTCCGCCTTTCTGTTGTCCTCTCCCATCCCTGGCTACTCTGGTTTGCACATAGCACACAGAGGGATCAGTAAGGCAGACAACGGCGAGTGTGCCTCCTTTTGCTTCCGACCACGTCCCTGCATTTACAAGAGCAGTAGTTCTCAGTCCTCTCTCAGGGGAACCCACTCCAACATTCATTTATTGATGCTCTTGTTCAAAATGGTGATTTCCTTTTCTGTAAACCAGAAGAAACCTGTTGTTATCAACCCACCCAGCTGTTTCATTCTCAGGCTCTTCTTCCCTCTACGTCCTGTGAACTGGAAAGTTGGGCCAGTTGCTAATGAACACGAGCTTTGGCTCACGTCATCACTCTGTGAGCCACAGAGCTCTCTCTGGCTGGCCACAGTTGCAGTCTTTACCGGCCCTTGAGATAAAGCTGCATGAAAGTAGCTCCTCACTGTAAGCAGTGTTGGTGACGCTCGTGCCAACGGCCATGAGAGTCACCGCTGGGTGCTGCTGCAGCCCCGAGTGTCTCTGCCCAGACTGGGTAGTTCCTCCGGGGTCTTGCCTCCCCCGTCCCTTGCTGCGAGCTGGATGTGCGGTCTCCAGACTGCTCTTGGCAGGGCTCCGTAGGGCTCAGCATGGCCAGCATCTAATGAAATGCTTTCTGTCTTTGGAGTACACAGATATGGTTGATGTCGTCACACTTCCATTTCCCCGATACCACTTCAGGGCAGCAGCCAGAACCTCTCTGGACACTGCAGCACTCCTCTGATGTTCTCTTCTCACCGGGAGGCCCTGTCAGGTCTCCTCTAGGAGAAGAGAGTCGTAGCTTCCATCATCCTCTTGTGCATTTCCCCCTCTCGACGATGCTATGCCAAACCAAGATGTAGTGGCAGGAAAGGAGTTTGCACCTGTCCGTGCTGGTGCCAGCCCAGTGGGTGTGGCCGACTCAGCACAGGAGCTACTTCTGAGCATGAAAGCACTGGGGTCCCTGAGATGATGGGATGGCTGGGTTTGAGGCCGTTGGGAAGGTCAGTTTAATTTGGAGGCCTTCCCCATGATCCAGACTGACATAGACGAGGCTTCAAATTCCTTGTCTGCCCTTGAGCCTCTAGCCTGACTCCCTTCTTCGTGAAACAGGCTGACCGTGCCTTCCTTACAGAGCGATGGAAGGAATAAATGAAGTAACACACTGAGCACTAAGCGTGGAAATTGGGCCCATGCCCACCCTCAGTGAATGGAAGAGCTCTTATTCTAGACATCGGATGCTACACGTGTGCAGACATCCCTAAGAGGCCTTTGGCCTTTTCCCTGTGGAAGGGGCCCTCTCCCACTCTGGTCTCACTGAACTTCCTCGTCACTGGTGACACCGGGAACCACTGGCATGTCACGCCCTTCAGCTCGCTCTTCGCCTTAGGTTTCTGCCTGTGGATGGTTCCTCCTCCTCCCTCTTGATTAGAGTGGCTGCTCTATAGCCAGCTCATTTCTCTGCCCCTCAAGGCACACAGCACCAGACCCCTCAGGTACTGGTGAGACTGCAGGTGAATAACTTGTGCTTGCATTCTGTGTGTCCCCCCCAGATGACTTTGTGGTGCAGAAGCCAGAGCTCAGCACTCCGTCCATTTGCCACGCCCCTGGAGGAGAATACTTTGTGGAGGGAGAAACATGGAACATGGACTCCTGCACTCAGTGCACCTGCCACAGTGGGCGGGTGCTGTGTGAGACAGAGGTGTGCCCGCCGCTGCTCTGCCAGAGCCCCCTGCGTACCCAGGACTCCTGCTGCCCACAGTGTCCAGGTAACCAGTGTGGGGCGTTGGGTGTGTTTGGCGGGGAGGCTGTCCCCCCCTCGGGCACGGCGCTATAGCACCGTGTGCCAGGCTGAGCCCGGGGGAGTGCCCGGCGGGCCCAGGAGCCCAGGCTGGAACACCTGGCCGCTGTGTCCAGATTTCGTTCCCTTCTGCTGAGCACATATTTATGCGGCCGGTAGGCTGTGTGCCCGAAGTGACTGGAGAGGGAAAAAGAGTTTGTTTTGTTCTGCTGAGTGTTTTTCTTAAGCTACATCTCAGATTCAAGACTCAGATAAAGTTAGTCTTCCTGCACCAAATTATCCCAGATCATTTTGTGAAACGTCACCTTTGTTTTTCACAAATAGGAAGAGCTGTTATTACTGGATAGCATAAACTTAAAATGCTTGCAGTATATAACATTGGTGAAGGTATTCTGAGAATGTTAAATAGGAGACCCACTAAAGAATGCAAGGTGCTCACCTCTTCAAACCTGTAATGTTAATAAATTGAGATCCAAGCCCACTGACTAGACTGCACATGTACAAAGAATATCATTAGTTTCTCCTTTTTAGTTCTCAGATGACTTGGCCTTAGCAGCTAAATTTGCAGTCACGAAAAAAACATATTGAAAATTTGTCAGGATTTAAACAGCAGTTACTGAATTTTTAATCACACAATTGCTGTTTTAATTAACACTCAAATATACTGCTTTTTTCCAAAAGATTTAATTTTTATATCTAAAAGTACCACTTTGACAGCACACTGATTTTGTTACATGGATGTTTAATATTATATCCACTCAACTTCAGTCAGTAACCTTTACATAAATGGTTACCTTCTAGCTGTTTCTTCTTAAGACATTCCTGCTCAGTAACACACAAACACAAACCCTTCTATTTTATGATTTTTTTTTTTAACATCAGATTATCTAGTCTTGGATCAGAATCGTTTGTCCTGCTATCATATCCAGCTTTGTTAATATCCAGATTTTTCATAGGTTCACATTTGTAATAGTCTTAAAATTGTATCAGATGAACTTAAAGGGGTCACCACGTGACATGTTGCTGTCGCCGAGCACCACTGCCTCTTGGTGCAAAGTCCTGGATGTAATTAGCAGCCATAGTAATCTGAGAGTCTTAATCCCCACTCCATGTTCTCCATTGTAAGAAATAGTTCCTGTGGGCTCCATTAGGCTACATCTGACCTAGTCCTCACTGCCACTGCTTGGCTCAGCTTTCTGGTCATTCTCTGCTAATGCATAACCATGACTTTGCCTGTGCTGTGGGTAGAAATGACGTTGATCTCTTCACTGAAAATCTTGAATTTATATCTATTTACATAGTCATTAATAAAACCTAATGAATGATTTGAGCCATGATGACTTTGAGGTTAATAAAAACAGCCATAATCTCTGCCTTCTAGAGCAGTGGTCCCAAAGAATAACTGAGCAACCTGATGTTCTTCCTCTAAGTAGCCACAAAGTGAGCGAAAAGCCGTAAAAGGGAAGAATTGCGAACACATAGCCCAGGACACCTTAACTGAATGAGAAGTACCTCACATAGCACCCGTTCCAGGACCTGAGGAGGCATACAGGGGTCGGTTACTGGACTGGAGCCTGACAAGCTGGCACTGGCTAGCGAAGGGGCAGTGGGAAGAGACTTCTCGTGATCGCTGGTCCCAGTTCATTGGTAGGATACTTCTCTGGCCTTGGAAGTTCATTCCAGAAAAAGAATAAGGGCTGCCCGGAAGATGAGGGTGCCAAGGTGTGGCTTCTCGGCATCAGGTTTCCTCAGGGGCACATGTGTAAGGGGGCCTGGCTTGGGCTTGTCCCTGTAAACTCACACCTTGAGGATTCTTCCTTTCTGTACATAGAATCTGAGAGAAACTTCACTGAGAGTTGTCATCTTAAATGTTAGAACTTTCTGTTTTATATATCAGTATTGCAAAGGTTACTCTTTCATCTGGGAATTAGAATAGATCTAGAAGCTGTATTTTAAAATCAGTCCCCCACCCCATAATTGATCTTTCTGAACCTTCCATCCATAGGTGTGTTGCAGCACATAAAATGGCTTAAAATTTAAAACATCAATTTCTTCAAATTTCAGCTTTAGCACTGATGAATGGTGTATTACACACCTAGGAAAATACCATCTCAAGTCTTAGGATACTTGCGTTGTAAAGGAGCCCAGAACCAACAAATATGCCCCACAGAAGAGCTGCCCCTCGTGGTCCGGTGTCTCCCAGATTGCCCTTCCTTTAGCTGCCCCTCCGCCCCAGCCTGGTGCGAGAGCATGGTCTGGAAATGACGCTGGTTTCTTGGGGGGAAATGCGAGCATCCCCACGGGCGACATACTTGGCCACAGCGACAACGGGAATGAGCAGAGGAGTAGCCTTCCCCCCCCCCCCCTTTACTGTCTTTTCTACAGTTGGAAAGGGAGTGGGAGAAAGACTAGAAATAAAGAGAATGAATGAATGCCAGCAGAGGAATGCTGGAATCAAGAGTTATACTTGGAAGTAGAAGTGTAAAGAAGGGATTTCTGGAGCTTCAAAGCAGCCCCAGAGGGAGATAGCGTGAGGAAACTTCCAAAGGCTGTTTTCAGTCAGTGTTCAGTTAAGACTCGCAGATTGAGCTTCTCAGTCCCCTCTCACTCCAGCACACTCCGAAGTCTTCTGGTGTCCTCTCCAGCCCTGAGTAAGAGGCCTGGAGCTCTAGAATACATACTCTCTGCGGCTGTTACTTTGTGGCTTCATTGCTGCGATCCCTGCTTCCTCGTGTCTAGACATAAGTGTGACACTGCTCGCAAAAGCCAAACTGCTGTAGCCCACGGAACCCTCGTGGTAGCTTGCAGAGCTCAGTGCCGTCTCCTTTCCTGAGTGGTTTCTCCTTTCCAACAAAAGCAAGAGTTAGCAATAGTCAGTCTCTTAAAGAAATCCCCCTTAGACGTGGACTACCCCAAAATGGTCACTGAGAAAGTCATCCGTCTTACCAGCTTTCTCGTGTCTGGGTGAGATCCATACAACATACTGAAAGTGGGGGGCTAAAACCCAGTGCAGCAGTGGGACCAGCGACTGCTCTCTTCTTCATGGCTGCTGCCTCCAGGGCGGCAGCAGCAGAGACGGTGAACTGAGTGAAGGAGCGCCCCCGCCCTGCCGACCGCCTCTGTTCGCAGAGAAGGTCCGCACTGACGCGGCTGCTGTGCTCCCCAAGGGGCTGTGCTTGTGCAGTCAGACTTCTGGTTGCGGGGTGTGTGCTCGAGATGGCCGGGAGGGGTATGTGTCAAGAGTCTCGGCCTCCCCACCCAGTTATTTCTGTTTCTTAGCTGAAAATCGCCCAGTTCATGAATCTGTTCTGAGGCTGGCAGATGATGATTCTTTTGACCATGTGTGTCCATTGAGATGGGGTGCTCAGCCTCCAGCAGACCATCGAGCAGAAGGTCAGGAGTCTTTTCTCTTAGCAGCTGAATCTTGACAGTTCTACACTAAGTATTGCTCTCACTTAGATTTTTCACTCACTGAACATTCCAGGTGAGTTTCTGCTTGAAGTTACAAAGTTCTTCGCATAACGGCAGTGGATATGGCGATCCATGACTTCGGGGCTTTCTGGTCAAATCTTTTCTGTTTTGAGTTGTAACCTGGCCTGGGGGCTCAGTTCTGTCTTTAAGTAGCAAAGGTGCAGATCACCTGTGGGTGATTTCTCTGTGGGCGCTTCCTTCCAAGTGTTTAGATTTTCCATCTGATGCAGTCCTTGATGTTACTGTCTGGCCATTGGGATGTTACAAAGCAGTCTTTTTTTGCTAGCTGCAATTACAGGAGTGCATTTGGCTTGAGAAAACTCATGTACAGCTTTTAAGCAAGTAGATGTTTATTTTACATACATGATGAGAAAATCAGAGGCAAATGTTGATCTGTACTACCTCACTGCTCAGTGATGTCAAGGCCTTTCTCTTCTAGGCATGAAAGGATGTCATAGCTGTAGGCAACACACTCCTAGTCAAGGCAAGAATAACGTAGAAGGATGGCAGTTGTGACACACCCACCCTTCTTTTAAGAAAGTGATTGCTGTCCAGAAGTCAACATTTTACCATGAGGCCCCATTAATCACAGCTAGGTGACATGGCCTGGTTGCAGGGGAGACTGAAAAGCAGGAGACAGGGTTGTCCTGTTTGACTCCTGGCCATTGTGATCCACGTCCTTGATCAGCCCCACCACCCACAGCCCCACAAAAACACCGGGGCTTGTTAAGCGCGGGGAGAAGGGTGGAGTGTTGTGCAGTTAACAGGATCTCTCAACAGCCCTTCAGTGGTCTCTGCTTTGCTTTAAAACCCAAGAGCTGCCTGCGTTAGCCTTGCCTTTCACTTCTGAGTCGTTTCCTAACCAGTCACGACATCCCCGTGACTGAGGGTGCCTTTTGTGAGACAGTGAAGCCCACCACATTGCACAGCTGATGGCCTGCAGCATCTTCTTCTCCCTGCTGACCTTATGTTCATTTTTCCAGATGAACCTGTCCAGCCTTCCTCATCCCATAATGAGAGCGTGCCTAGTTACTGCAAAAGTGATGAAGGGGATATATACCTCGCAGCTGAGTCCTGGAAGCCTGACGTTTGTACCAGCTGCGTGTGCATGGATAGCGTAATTAGCTGTTACTCTGAGTCTTGCCCTTCAGTATCCTGTGAAAGACCTGTTTTGAGAAAAGGCCAGTGTTGTCCCTACTGCATAGGTAAGATCAAGAACAAAAATCCTTCATCTCAACCTATGGCCACTGAAACTGCGTTGATAGCCCTGTGCCTGAGATCAGTTCATAGCTGGGAATTCATTTCCTGGTCAACATGCCGCATGGCCCCAGGGGGCCCTGCCTGGCAGGGGGCGCTGTGGAAGCAGCGTTCGGGGAAAAATACGGATGGATGGAGACGCGCTCGCTCTCGCGGAGTCAGCCCAGGCTCTCCTGTCCTTTTGGGCTCCTCTGCCGTCTCAGGATTTTCAGCCTCAACTCTTTCTCCACCTTACTGTTTACAGTGGTCTCTGCCACGTAGGAGCCATGTGCCCAGTTAGAGTACACTTAGTGCATACAGCTTGTGCTGCCTTGGACTTAAACCAAACATGCAACGCTAACTTAGTCTCCCAGTTCTTGCTCTGTCTGCTGGCCTGAAATTGCTTTCAGGGAAACTTTGCAGCTGCCCGTGTCCTGGGGACACAGAGGTGACAGAGCCCTCTCCTTGTACGACCCATGGTGATAGCCTGAGTGGAGGAAATGTGTACGTTAGCCCCTGATAACCAGGCCACGGCTGGCTTCTCTGGCACCAAGGTGAGGCCCACACAGCTGGCAGCTCAGGAGAGGCGGCTCCTGGCCCACAGCTCTCGTGCCCTGCTTCCGCCTTCGCATCAAGTCAAGGAAAGTTGGAGCACAGTGACACATCTGGGTGGGTAGTGAATCTACTCAGAGTAGCAAGTGGAAAATGTGGCAGCTGTAGTAATTGAGGTACTGTGCATTTATGGCCAGAGAGAGTTTCGCATGACTTCTAGATGCAAGTCTTCGCATTTATTTGGGGTGGTGTCTGAAAAAAAGGAGCACCTCCTAGCTACCGAGCCTTGCGGGAGTTGTCCTAGATGAGTTGGTGAGTGGCACTCAGTTGCATGTTGGCCGAGACACAAGCTCATCAGGATCGTGCCCGCTCCTGGCCTGTGACCTCTGGAGGCCAGGCAGGCCATCTCTGCGTCTTACTCGGCACGTCGCTGTACGAGCAGTGGGCAGTCTTTACGCTTCATGCACATTCTGTTACGGAAATGGTCAGTAAGCCTCCTCTGCATCACACTTTCTTTGCGAGTGGTCTTGGTGGACTGTGCGCCCTTCTCGCCTGGTCCTCTGTGTGTTCCAGCATAGGAGGTCAGGTTCAGTCCGTGGCGATCAGGAACTTCCTCTCTTGACTCCCCAGTGGGCCCCCTGTTACCTCTCCAGGCTTGTTCTTAGCAAGTTCCCACCGGTCCAGCCCCTCTGTCAGGGTAGAGCCTGGCGATGCAAGGACGCCTACAGCAGTGACTGGCTGTGCCTGGGTGGCAAAGCTCCTGCCACCATCTAAAGGTGCAAGGGAAAGACGGGCCGTGATGGTGCCCCTCCCAAAGCAACAGTGTTTTCGCCAGTAGCCCCTGAAGACCAGTGCCTGCGATGCTTCCTGCTCTAGATTTTTTTCCTTTGAACCCCTTCTACTTTAACCCAGGTAGCCAGCCCCCAGAATCCCATGTGCCTCAACCCAGCCCACCACTCTGTCCTCTGCAGGGCTGGAGGTTTCCTCCCTGCATGGATCTTCTCCCCATCTCTTAAGTCTCAGATCGACTTTCCTCGCACCCTTTTACTAGTGATTAAAAACCCTAGCGAAAAGCTTGCTCGCTCTCACCTGGCAAAGGGTGCTGCTTTTCTTCTCATGAGATAGTTGGGAAGTGGTGATCCTACCAGCAGTAGGATCCTCCCAGCAGTGAGTGTTTGTATGCCTTTCAGCTGGATGATCAAGTCACTAGTGTGCGATGATATTGCTTCTCTTTCCATGTGTGAAGGCCTCATACCGTGTGTGCTAATGTAATAGAATGTAACAGACATAATTAATAGGATTAATGATTAATTTTGAAAAGTGAACAACTTTGCCTAATTACTTACAATATCCATAATTAGGGAATTCATCCTTGTACTTTCAGAAAGCACTAAGTAGTAATTACCAATCACTTTAATGGAACAGCTTCTGATTCATTAATTTTATGTTCTAGTTTCCTACACAAATACAAACTTAGGTGTGATTTTCATGGGCCTTTGGCTGGAGTGTTACCTAATAAAAAGGGGAAGCAAGATTCAAAAGAGGACTTGAGTATAAGTCAGGTGGAGGTAGCATGTCTGGTGGGAACCCCGACGTGTGGTGACACACTGGCTGCGTGAGTCCTTAGGAGGAGCAGGTGCCTCTCCCTCGCCGTGCAGGTTGGCACCCTGGGCCTTATCACTGACTTCATGCCTTTCTAAGAATTTTTCCAGAGCACAAATTATTTCAGCACATCAATGAAGTCTTTGCTCAGGCTGTCCAGAGGAGAGCAGACAGTGAAGCTACAGCCTGGGGCCCTGCTGGGCGTGGCGCCTGCTCACCCCACTCTCATCGCACTTGCTCGGGTCTTTGTTACTGCTGCTTCTGCCAGGACTGGGGGTCAGCGGCTTCTAGCGGGGGTACCGTAGCCAGGCCCCTGCCCAGATGTTGCAGAGAACACTGCTCTGACCAGACAGATCTTTATGGGGTCTTCAGGCACCTGTTGCTGCTGCCTCAGTCACGAGCACGTTTCCCTCCCCAAACCAGTTTCATTGGAAAAGACTCTTCTGAGTCACCACACATGTTGGCCAAGTAGTTAGTATTCTTCAGGGCATGGATATTATTGTTTTCAAGCTCCCCCATTTGGTGAGTATTTATTTATTTGTAACCAAGTGTTATTTCAGAAAATATTTGAGGCCAGATATTTAAAGTCATATTTGTTGGCGGGAGATCCCTGCGTCAATACATCCTTCTCACTTCAGAAGTTTTTGTCAAAGGCTAGGTATTTTTGAAGGCTAGTCAGTTGTTTGTGTTTTATATATATACCCATATATACATACATTTTTTTATAGCTTGATGTGAGCAAAGTTAACATACTCCGATAACATTTCTTTAGACCATCTACTATCTTTTAAATAACTTTAAGCATCTAAGGGGCTAGGAAAAGGAGTTTGTTTTAGACAGTACATGAACCAAAAATGTTTCTTGCAGGCTGTATATCTGTCTGATGAGCAGCTAGCTTGTATACTTATTGTATACCTCTGATGTTAACATACTTGAGGTGCTGCTTTCGTGTGGCTCAAGCAGTAAAGCCAGAGTCGGTGATCTTCAACTAGCAAATGATTAATAACATGTCTTCTTAATAGGGTGAGATCTATATATCAAGTCAGTGTGTTATTTAGCAGTCATTTTTGCTTAATATTCTGTTTAGGCATCCTTTCTTAGAGATAAATATACACGGTATCTATGTGGAACATCTGTTGATCATTGTGTATTTAACTCAGCCCAGAAATCAAACATAGTAAATATTTAATTCAGCATCTCTAAGACATACAACCATGAAATTAATGTGCATTTTTAAGCCATAATGTTATGATAATGGCATCTTCACTGGAATATTTTTCACAGCTGTTTTTCCAAATGTATTTCTTTTTTTGTAATTTAAAACTTCTGCGTATTGGAAGGAGCACTGACATGAGAGCCAAAGGGTTATGATCCCACCTCTGGCACATTCTAGTTCCGTATCTTGGGTTATGGCGTGACTCTCGCTCAGTGGCCTCTTCTGTACGCTGGGAACAGGAGTTTGTCCTGTGCCCCACAAAGCACACGGAGGTCGTGCTGACACAGCTGAGTGGCAGCACTCTGCAAGCCAGAACTGAGGTGTGCGGGGTGCCGGGGGTGGCACAGAGCACCACTGACCGGGGGAACGGCACTGAGTGGATTCCGGTGTCTCACTTCCAAGTGTTGCACCTGCCTTCCTGCAAGAGGAAGGCCTGGCAACGGCATCGCCATGAGCTTGTGACGGATGAGCCTCTCCTAGGTGCTGGTCACTTGTCCCCCCTGCTTTTGCCTTACGTAGCCATGCTGGTCTGGGCAGCGCCCTCAGAGCTGTGCTGCTCCTCACCTCTTGTCACCCACAAAGAAGAGGGCTCTGTTACTGCGTGGTTTACCTTGAGAGGCTCCTCCCGTCCCATTTGAGAAATCCTTAAGCTTGCCATGCGTGATGCACTGTGGTCTGGCAGGGGCCGGGGTGGGCTGGGGTCATCTGTGCCTGGGCGCCCCTCTCAGGGCCGAGGCGCTGTGCTTCCACACCCTTCCCAGAGTTTCTGCCCCAGGGGCCCCCACCAGCAGCCCCGGTGGTCACAGTGAGTGCTGAAGTGATTTACACGAGAGGGCGGGGAAGCAGACTGATCTTCTGTGTGCTGTTTAGAGGGTGTAGGACTCAAAACATTCTGGTTGTCATGTACTGTACTAAGTTTGGAGCTGGCCTAAAGTTGTCAAAACAAAAATAAACAGTGTTTGATATCGGTTTGTTTAGGTTTTATCCTGCACCCTAGGAAGCGTCTCCTCCTGCTTTTCCCAAAAGCAACTTTCTCTTCCCATTGGAAGATCCTTTGCGGTGTCTCCCCCACCCCTCGGCTATGTGACAGAAACTCAAGTTCCTCTAGCTAACTTGGGAGCGAGTGGCATGCCTTTATCCGGCTCCTGCCCCCCACGTTCTTGCAGTCCTCTGTGCAGAAGGGAGTCTGGCACTGGCGTGCTCAGCCCCGCTCTCTGCTGCTCTCTCTCTTCTCTCTGGGGGGCCTTCCCTGGTTTTGTTCTCTTTCATGATTGGGAGAAGGACCCCACACACAGGAGGGCCCATCTGTCAGGGAAATGTAACTAGAGCCCACCCAGCCCAGCGCCCTCCAGAGTGCCTGCGGGTGTGAGGCGGGAGGGCGGGGAGACAGGTGCAGCCCTGCCTTTAAGTCCTAGAAGTGTTATGTTTTCTTATTTCCTTCCTACTTGCGCTCACCTTGATCTTCCACCGTTTCTGCCAGCCTTTAGGACTATGTGTGTTGAAAATGATTTCTGTGTGTCATCTGCACATAGCTCGAGGTAGGCCCAGGATTGTAGGTCTTGCTGTGGAGTCAAGCGTTGAAAGTTGAAATGGAATGTT